TCCACATTTGAGGCCACCAGAAATCCCTAGATATCAGCTTCAAAGTCTTATTATATCCAAAATGTCTTGCTGCTGGGAAGTCGTGACGAGCTTGAAGAACACGTAAACGAGCTTCTCCTTCTGGAACATATAGGCGTCCTTCGAAATAGAGTAGGTTGTTCTTGAATTCAAATTTAGATGGATCATGAGATTTAGAAGAATTGTTCTTGATATCATGAACAAGAGGATCTGAAGACATACTTAATTTGACTTGCTTAAGGAAAGTTAAATCAATAGTCAATGTTGATTTTATTGCTCAAAGATGAAATTGTTTCGACTTCAAGAGAACCGTTCTTTGTTGCTCAAAAGCTGCATCTCCTTCTTTTGGTGCAAGATAAGAACGTCTAGACAAGGCATCGAATAAACCTTGTTGTTTTCCTGGCCGATAAGTGATGATGAACTCGAATCTTGATAAAGACATGCTCCAACGAGCTTGGCGACGATTTAATACTCGTGTTGACATAAAATATTCGAGGTTCTTGTGATCCGTATACATGATGACTGGACTAGAAGCGCCTTCTAGATAATGACGCCATTCTTGAAAAGAATCCATAATTACAAGAAGTTCTTTGTCGTGGATCTCATAATTGATTTCTGCTGCTGAGAATTTTCTTGAATGAAAGGCTACTGGATGAAGTTTGTCATCTGTTCCCATTTGTGATAAAACCGCACCCAGAGCAAAGTCCGATGCATCTGCTTCCATAAAGAATGCTTTGGAAAAATCAACACGATACAAGATTGGTGCAGAAACAAACGTTGTCTTCAAAGATTCAAAAACAACTTCCGCTTCTTGATTCCATTGGAGTTTGTCTTTACAAGTCAAACGTGTAAGTGGAGCTGCAACTCGAGAGAAGTCTTTGATGAAGATCCGATAGTAGTTGGCAAATCCCAAAAAATATTAGACATCTTTTACTATTTTTGGGATCTTCCAGTCTATAATAGTTTGAATTTTCTTAGGATCCATCATAAGTCCATCATTTGAAATGATGTAACCTAAGAAATCAACTTGAGTAGTGTGGAATACACACTTTTCTATCTTGGCATAGAGTCCTGCATCTCTTAATTTTTGTAACACACGACAAACATGAAGTTTATGTTCTTTTGGATTCTTAGAATAGATCAAGATGTCGTCTAAATAACATACCACAAAATCGTCCAAAAACTCTCGAAAAATATCATTCATTAGATGTTGAAAAGCTGCTGGTGCATTTGTAAGTCCAAAAGGCATGACGTTGTATTTAAAATGTCCATACCTAGTTCGAAACGCAGTCTTCCATTCATCTCCTTCTTTGATGCGTACTAGATTGTATGCTCCTCGAAGATCTATTTTTGTATAGATCTTAGCTTGATTCAGTTGATCAAGAAGTCTGGATATTAAAGGTAGTGGATACCTGTTTTTGATGGTAATCTTGTTGAGTCCTCGATAATCAACACACATCCGCAATGATCCAACTTTTTTCTTCACAAATAGAATTGGAGCTCATGCCGGAGATTTAGAATGGCGTATGAAATTCTTGGCTAGATTGTCTTCAATATACTCCTTGAGTTCAGCCAACTCATTTTGTGATAAACTATAGATTGGTCCGAATGGCGGTTGTGCTCCTTCTTGAAGGTCAATTGAGCAATCATAGGGACGATGTTCTGGGAGTATATCCGCATTCTTTTTTTCCAATACATCTTGAAATTCTTGATATTGGCTTGGAATGCCACTTGAAGTCTTTTCACCAGTAGAAATGGGTGTAGCATAAATAATGTATGGTGATTCTTTCATAGCAGCATGCAAGAAAGCTTTTGCACCTATAAATATGGGTTTAATTGAACTGGACTTATGACTCTCTACTTGTTTAACTACACTATTAGTTATACTTTCAGAGAAAGTGAGAGTTTGAGAAATCCAGTCTATTTGAGGGTTGTATTTTTCTAACCACGATAAACCTAAAATGATTGGATTAGAGAGAGATCTAATGATATTAAATACTACAAAACTATTATGACCATTGATTATTACTTCTATACGAAGGGTTTCGTGAGTAATATCTCGAGAAGACAATGGACGACCATCTATGACTTCTACATGAACAGGTTTAGTATTCTTTACTAAAGATATGCTATGTCTTTTAGTAAATTCTTCATCTAAAAAACACGTTGAGGCTCCTGAATCTAACAAGGCAGAGACTTTGTAATGTTTAGGTCCTAAAATAACATTTAATGTAAAACAAGGAGAGGGCTCTGAGGAGAGAATAGGACCTTTACTAGAAGTTGTGCAAGGTTTCAGCCACACGATCCCTATTATAGCTGGACAAACTCGTTTTCCGACATATTATCTTCTTTCACAGCCATACTCCTCATTTTGTGATTGCGTCGTTTCTTTGGACAATGCTGAGCAGTGTGCTTTGGTTCTCCACAATATAAACATAATCCTTCTTGACGACGACGAGTCTTTTCTTGCTCAATAAGAGGTTTGAAACGTACTGCATCAATTTGTATATCCTCTACTTCTGAATGTATGTGTTGAAGAGATGTTGGTGTTGCCATTGAATTATAGTAACGTTGAGGTCCACTTGTACGATTCTCAGATCGAAATTCAAAAAGGTGATTGTCGCACTTCACAGTAAAGTCAATTGCTTGACTCAATGTTTGAGGATCAGGTAAGTTGAGCATTAATTTTTTTACCTCATATTGTAATCCGTAGAAAAATTGGCTAATAAGTGCAGCATCATTCTACTTTATATCAGTTGCAAGTTATCGAAATTGTGAAGCATATAACGTTACTGATCGATTATCTTATCGTAAAATACGGATCTTATTGGTTGCAACACGAATTGCATCATGTTCTCCATACATAGATCGAAACTCCGCCAAAAAAGCCTCTAGATTATCCAATATTAGATCTCGTCATTCAAGAAAAGATGAAAACCATGATAGTGCCGAACCTGAAAGAAGCGTACCAATGAATCTAACTTGTGATCCTGGAGTTGGATAGCTTTGGGATTGAAGTTCAATCACAAGTTGCACTTGATTGATAAATCCTCGAAACTTGGATCTGGTGCCATCAAACTTCTCGGGTAGGGCAATTCTTGGTTCTCTAACATTTGAAGGACGTTCCACCATAGGAGAAAGGACATGGTTTGGTGCAGATGTTGAAGCAGCTCCAACCATTTCTATATCTTCACTTCCTGCCAATCTTGTTGCTTCTTGTGGTGGTAAATTGAGTTGATGCATCACAAGCATTAACTCCCTCAATTGTTCTTGCATTTGTGCCATTGCACTCTTCATTTCAAGAAGTTTTGCCATGATAACACTTAGAAGAGAGAAGATGTCTAATATCGCTCAAGACAAATAGAAGAGAGGACTTGCGGACAAAGAAAATACTAAGGACAATATCAGTTTAGAAGAGGGTAATCCGCAACTTCTAATACGCTTATATCTTATCAAGAAAAAGGGGTAATCCACTCTTAATCAAGATTAGACAAAGCTCTGATATTGTAGGTGTACTCTTGTCAATCTGTCAAGGACAAGAACTTGATGAAAAAATAATTCAGACAAGTGAGCCTTCACTCAAAGAGAGGTAACAAAATATATATATAAACAAGTATATATATTGAAAGAGAAACTGGAATGGCTATTGCCAAAAGACAAGAAAACTAGAGATCCTTGAAACTAGACTAGAAGCAAGAAAGGAGTTGATAAGAGTGAAGAAGCCTTCAGTCTTGTCTCTATATATACTATCTAACTAGGGGCTACGTGGCGACGTTCTATAGGACCTCCAATATGTGTTGACTTTGTAGGGCACATGCCTTGACTTACAAGGCAAGTTTTTCTACGTGTGGGCTACATAGTTAGCTTGATCTTCAAGCTAACAACATGTGTGGCACATGGCCAACTTGTTGACCACGTTTCTAATCCAAAAAATCAATTAAAGACACCTATGAAGTCAAAACAGCATCTAGGAAGCTTCTAAGAAGCTTCTATATTAAATATTATAGAATTAACTTACTTTTATCTACTTTTACTTACTTCTACCTATTTCTATATGTAATTATTAGCTTACATGATTATAGCTGTGACAGTGCGTGGTGCATTTTCAAGGAAGAATACATGTAATACAATAGGAGGTGTTGTTACTTTAGGGAGGTAACAAACTTTGTATCAAGTATTCATGTTTGATTACTTAATTTTAATAATTACATACATTTATGTCATAAAAAATGTATCATTTGACTTTCATTTTGTTTTACTTATTTTTTAGTATTCATATTAAAATTTTAAGTCATGATATACAATACTTTTAGTATATTTGAATATTTCAAATTTATTTGATCATATGTTTTTGAAATCAAACAGTTATAGCAGAAGTTAACACAATCCACACACACACACATGTACATATATATATATATATATATATAGATATATATATATATATATATATTTTTGAATCTACACTAATAACAGTTAAGTTTGTATGTACACACAAGTTTGCTTCTAAAAATGCAATCTTATCTTAACATAAAACACTATATTCGTCTGAATGGATTACGTGTTTAAGAATCAGTTCACCGAATCCAATGCTCATCTTCAGGACCATGGTTCCCTCGTTTAGTTGAAGAATTAAAAGTATATGGTAAGTGTGAGGAGAAAGTCCACCTCCAATTATGGAGATTGACGTCGATGCCCAGAATCGATCCCAAAACCCATTTAGCGCACGTTGACAGGGTGACCTAAGTTACACGGTGGCAGGTGCCGCGGTAAAAGTGCACGTGATGAATAGAACGAGCGGGCATGCTGACGTCGTCAGACGCGCTTCGACGCCGTGAAGTCGTCGCTATGCCCCCCGTCATATGAAGAGAGGGCTTCCTCCTCTGCCTACCGGCAGCCGCAGGCCCCGCCGCCACCGCAGGAACGCGGCAAGCTATGGCGATGGCGAATGCAGACAGAGCCAGGGGTTTGCGAGGTGCATTAGGATCTATCACGGACATGACTTCGTGGTCGTTTTCTTCACTTCAACCTCGCCACACTCGGTACAGGTTTGTGGAGGGCAACCTTTGATCATCCCGCGGTGTTTTCTTTTGTCTTTTTCGGGCTACGAGGTCGGTCGGGTCAGCCTTCACCGCGTAGTTATCCTGGATTGCCGGTAATAGTATCGGAGCGGCAGGAAGGGGGATTAAGCAGGACAAAACAGCGACGACGCTCATAATTTTGTGATTAATTTTCAAGCTTAAGCGTGTTGCGGTCCTTTTCTGATTTGATTAGGTGAGAGTCTGTCTGCAGTTTGGTTATCAGTAGGCGGTGATGTCTTTTGCTTGAATGTTGCATCTTGGAATCACAAGATTTGAGGATACTGGTAATTTCGTTCTTTCGGTTGTACATTAGATTCTGAGTGTTCCGGACGAAGGAGGTTGTGTGTATATCTTGCGATGAGGTGACTAGAATTAGAATCATAATTGAAGCACGGAACTCAACTCTCCATTGTATGATCTTTGAAACCCAACTCGATTTGCAGGTTTTATGGAATTTATTTGATTTTTAGTCATCATGTTGTGAATTTAGAGTAGCTCATAGTGATGAATGTGTTTTGTAGCAAGGAAACATCAAGAAGTTGTGTGAGAAGGTTTGGAACCCCTTTCACTCTTAAGGATGAGGTTATGAGTGGTAGATCAAGACCCGGTTTGTGACAGTATCGGTCTGCCACTTCCTATAATAGTTGCTTCAGGTTTTGAATATGTAATGGAATATGTGGCGTAATGTTGACAGGAGCCTGGTAGAGTAATTTGAATTTTGAATTGGATCGCTGCCGTTTCTTTCTCTCTCTCTCTCGCTCTCAACAAGTGTGTATATGCCTGTATTGGTAAGTTGATTGGATACTCATATTTTTATTTATATATCATACATACACCTATATCGCACTCAGGTCTTACGGTTTTGAATTGGGGGATTTTCTGTTTAGGTTTGATCGCCAGTTGCGCCGTCTGACGAGGTTTTATATTCCCCTGGAAGGGCTAATCACTGCCGGACTTCCTTTCTAACTTTTATTTACTCGTTCACATCTAGCGCCTTTGTAAAGATCTTTGAAACCGGCGAAGATGTCGATGCTGGTAAACTGCGGTAGGTGTCGAACACCCCTCGTGCTACCACCTGGAGCGATGTCTATTCAATGCGCGCTTTGCCGGCATGTTACGCCTATCGCATATGACCGTGCAGCTCCTTCTCATTCAACTCCACAAATAAGTGATCCTTACAGAAACTCTTCACATGCTCCTCAGTATACACCAACGGTATGCCTGTCAACATACACCAACGTTGATTGTGTGTTCATCCCTGTGTCTTCTTTTGAGGGTTTTCTGGACGGGGGCTATTTTCTATTCATTACAAGAAAATCTGATTATGTGTTAAGCTTCACTTATTTGATACGTTTTATATTAAACGTGTCACTTGTGTGCACTCAGCCTCCAAATGTACATGGTCGGAAGAAGGCTGTTTTAGTTGGCATCAATTATTTCAATTCACGTCACATGTTAAAGGGGTGCATCAACGATTCAAATTGTATGAGGCATATGCTGACCACTAAGTTTGGCTTTCCTGCAGCATCGATCCTAACACTTACCGGTAAGTGGTCACTCCTATTTTTGTGGCATCATCTTTGTCAAATGACATGAATAACTCAGCTTTGTTGAATGTATTTTTTTGTTCTATTAGAGGTCCCTTACTTTGTGTCACTTGTTTATGGTGACAATGATCGAGTTAGATGTTTATTCGCTTTGTTGCTGTGGTAATTTGCAGAAGAACAACCTAGTGCAGTGATGAAGCCGACACGTTACAACATGCATATGGCTATGGTATGGCTAATACAAGGGTGCCAAGCAGGTGACTCCCTTGTTTTCCATTACTCAGGTCATGGTTCGCAACAACGCGACTACAGTGGCGAAGAAGCCGATGGTTTTAATGAAACCCTCTGCCCCGTCGACTTTGAAACGGCAGGAATGATTGTTGATGATGAAATTAATGATACTATCGTCAAGCCTCTTCCCCATGGTGTGCGACTTCATGCAATTATCGACGCTTGTCACAGTGGAACTGTTCTCGACTTGCCGTTTCTTTGCAGGTTCAATAGGTGAGATTATAGCTCTGCGTCTTTATCTTTAACCGCGCTGATTCTTGTTTACCTTTGTGAAACATTTGGTTTACTTTGTCTGCCTCGAGGCTTGTGATAATTCACCCTTAAAAACATGGCATCAATTTCAAGGGTAGTATCCTTTGTATGATTTACGCCATCTATAAGCCTCTGTTTCATATGCCCTACACGTTAGAGATTCGTACTCGGATCTAGGTAGGAATTCATATCTAAGTCACTGTTGCAGATACGGTCAATTTACGTGGGAGGATCATCGGCCAGCTAACCGCCGTTGGAAAGGTACCAGTGGAGGACAAGCTTACTCTTTCAGTGGTTGTGACGACAGCCAAACATCGGCTGATACTTCGGTATGTAAGTTGCCTTTGTAAATTACGAACCTTGGTGTCATTCTATTGTAACACCACCTTTGTAATTTTACGGGTCAGAAGTTAAAATTGCAAGCATGTATGTGTCTGATGCTGTATTTAGTGCTCTCGGAGTTTGAAGATGCATCCACAGGTACATGTCTCTGACGCTTGATGGATTTTTTTCGTAGGCACTGTCAAAGATCACGTCAACTGGTGCAATGACCTTCTGCTTTATTCAAGCGATTGAAAGGGGCCACGCTCAAACGTATGGTAGTTTATTGTGCGCCATGCGTGAAGCAATTCGCACAACTAAGGTGAACTCGGGAATGGGTACAGGGACTATCACAAGCTTGATGGAGATGTTGGTATCAGGTGGTAGCCTGACTGGTGGTCTCACTCAGGTAAGAAACATGCCTTCATTAAGAACATTCATCCGAGGTAGTCAGGCTCGAAGAAGTGTGACTATTTCTTTGTTTAATATCGCCATTTGGAGCATGTTCACGCTCCGTTGATTACAGCTTTGAATGTCCACGTTTCTATCGTCATCATGTTGTGCAGGAACCGCAATTGACGGCGAATGAGGCGTTTGACATTAACTCTCCTTTCCACCTGTAGGGTTATCTTACAATTTTCAATCTTGAAAATGTTCACGCTTGCGACATCGGGTGTGATTTTGTAAAGGGCTTGGGATTTAGTTCTTCTGGTTGTGATTTGGTAGTTGTAACACCAATGTAGTGTAACTGATGGGGGTTGATGGTGTAGAATAGATGAGCACTCAGAGTCCGCAGTCGCGATGAGTATCCTTGTCATGAGGATGAGTTCCAAATTAACGTGAATTTGCTTTTGCTATCGGCTTACCAAGTTTTGGAATGCAGAACTTAATGCTATTTGCCATCAGTTTGTTCATTGCGCCACCAAAGTTGACCTGTCGCAAGTCTAGGTAGTGCTCTTCTAAGCATTCTTAGTGTTGCTAATCATGGTGTGCCTGGAGTTCCCTAAAGCTTCTCGACTTTACAGCTAAATAAGGGATGCAACAGTTCTAGCCACTCACTAGCAGCTGGGATCATTTCGCGAAGGTACCATGCCCTTGATTACACACAGTAAGATCAGCACCACTGAAACTGGAATTGGAGCTGCCATGCAAATACTGCAAGGCTCAGCATGTGATTACGCAAAAATTACTTTTTACTTTTACTTTTACTTTTTCTCTTTGAGTTAAAAAAAATATGTACGAAAGTGGTTTACAGGTGCGCAATGTTAGTTTTAGTTTTTATAATTCTTTCTGTGCTCGACAGCACACGCTCCATCTTGTTGATGTACAAGAGTGTCCACAATTCATCAGATTATACAAATTCAAAAAGTCAAATGTGCTGACATAAAACCTAAAGTGAAAAAAAACTGTTTGGATGAGATACAGCTTGACTTACTTATTTTATTTTTATTATTTTTTGAAGTGCACCTTAGCTGTACATCTTGGTCACCAATGTAATTCTTGCCACCTGAAATCTTGATTGATTATACTTCAATAATATTTCAGTTCTTCTTAAAAGATTTGCTTACAAACAATTTGACTTAAGATTGATTCAAAAAATTTACAATTCTTATTTGTATTATTTTCCACCAAAAAAACCTTATTGCAAAACAAATCTATCTTATAACTTACATGAAATCCATTCATATTGATGTAAAATAGTAGATTAGAAAGAGGAAAATAGCATCACAATAACAACCCAACTTACCACATTAAAATTTGTATTGTATTAATGACCTTCTTTATGTTGCATATATTAAAAAAAAAAAAACCAAAAAGAATAATCCAATACACACAATAGTTTATAGCATGTTGTATAACTTTAAGAGTAAAGTCATTTGCATACTTTCTTGAGGTTTGTTCATTGCTGCTGTATAATAATTTAATGCTTTAAATGGTACCACTCTTTATTATGATTTAAATATCTATGTTGAGTACATTTTTATAATAAATGAAGTATGGGAATGAAGAACAATCGTATCTTATTTCTTTATAGATTATAAATCTAAGAATATGGTTATTATTGATATTGACCATAAATTTTGCACCTTTAGAAGAATTTTCATTATTTTACCAAATTTGCAATCAAAAACTAATTTATCCAAGATTCCAAATACAGAATTGTAGTTGACTTTATCATATACATTAATAAATTTTATTTTAAAAAAGAAATATAAGTTGGTTATATTTTGAAGCTCAAAAAATATTGTGTACTTTTAACATTAAGTCTTTGTTTATTGGAGCCATCAATTTAAATTAAACTATGTCAAATAAAAATACAATGAGTTATTTTTAGTAAAAAGAAGGTGAAATGAAGAGAAATAAGAGGAGAAAATTCTGTGTGTATATCAATAATGTCTATAAAATAGATAATGTCTATCTACTGAAATCACCAAACATCATGCCAACATCACTTAAGACCCCAAATTGGATCCAATGGTATCTCAAACTATTTCACACATAAAAAACAATTTTTTGAATTGCAGCTTTTTGTTGATTGTTGAGGAGCAAATACAAGCTTTGAGGCAGCATTCTTTGCCTTTGTAAATTAATAAATATATAATTTCAATGTTAAATAGACCCACTCGATAAAGAATATGGTAATTATGATGAATGTGGTTGGTTTTTATTAGTTGCAAATCCAATAGTGGAGAAATGAATCTAGATGTTTGTTTATTTATTTATTTTCATTCATTCATTAATGATAGATGGGTCAATTTAGTAATAACTTGGGTCTATTTCATATTCCCCTATCTATCTATCTAAATATACACACACATATATATATATATATATATATATATACACATAAATTCTCAAATTTTCTCTCATTAACCCACTTCTTTCTTTCCTCTAACAATCCCCCCTTCTACGTAAAAATAGTAACAAAGATTGAGATACTGATATACTGATTTTGGAACCCACGAGGGGAGTTGGGTATGGAATCCTTTTCCCACAGGAAGTGAGGGGGAGGGGGATGTTCATCGTCATAGTGGGAGTGGTATGTAAACCCTAAGGACGGGGCTACATTGGGGGTTGGGATTGAAGCGTCCTCAGTGCGGAGCAACATTGGATCTGGGCACCCAAATCAGAGCTAACCCAGGATTATTTGCTTACGGTTGTGGTGGAGTGGAGTGTGTAGTCGAGATATCGACGACGTCGAGCGATATTTTTTCTATATGCTTCTTATCCGAGTCTCTGCGATTGAGTCCTAGGGTTTCGTTTTTGAGTCGTTTTTTTCGGTCGAAGTTGTTGTAGGTGTTTTTATTTTTATTTTTATTTATTGTGTGGATGGTGGTGGGAGGACCCATGGCGACGTATGATTTACGGCAGACGGCGTATGTGAAGCTCGTCTTGCATGCATTGAAGCACACATCATGTGCCGTGAACGGCGTCTTGATCGGGCGCATTGGAAAGGGCGATGGTGAGTCCACAGTGGAGGTCACGGATTGCGTGCCGTTGTTCCATGGGCAGCTTGGGCTTCTGCCCATGCTGGAGCTTGCGCTCTCGCTGGTGGACGAGCATCTGGCAGCCGGACAGGATCGATCGTTGCAAATCGTGGGGTATTATCATGCAAATGAGCAGTTTGACAATCTTGAGCTTAGCTCTATTGCGAAGAAGATCGGGGACCAGATCGTTAGGTATTGTTCTCAAGGGGCGATTCTTTTGTTGGATAACAAACGGCTGCAAGCTCTTGCGAAGGAGAACACGAATGCGCCCGTGGTGCAGTTATATGTGAAGGAGGGTTCGAGCTGGAAGTTAGGAGGGTCTGGTTCGGAGCTTCGGTTGAAGGAGACAATGGCGAATAGCATTTTGAATGATTATAGAAAGGAGAAGCGTGAGGTCCGTGTGGTTGATTTTGATGAACATTTGGACGACGTTTCGAAAGACTGGTTAAATCCTACCCTCTTCAACTGAGTCAAAGGGTGCACTGTTCCTCGGGATTGGACCCAAAGTGCTAATCTCTTTACTATTCTCCTAGTGCATCAATCCCATTTGTGCAAATCTTACGGGCACAATCAACGTGATTGTTCCTTGAAGGATGCTCGGGTTTTCTTACGATCAGGCATCAAGATTTGAGGATTGTTGATTGTCACCTGCTCTTGACAGACTGGTAGTGTTTGGGTCTGCCTCCATTCAAATCCCTAAATTCCTCGGGGCTTTAGTTTTGCCCTAGCTCTTAGAAAAGATGGTTACAAGTCCTGTTGTCGAAGTCCTATTTGCAACAAAGCCCTGATTCTTGAATTTTAACTCCCAATAGCTACAATGTAAAGGTGATAATATGCGAGTCCCTGATGGGTACACAGTTTAATCGTATGTGCGCCTTCTCGCTTCTCAATGATGCACTCCCCTCTTTCCTATAAGGGTCATTTCTTGGCAAGTATCTAAAGTGGTCGTTATCATCAAACACTCATATGTTCACCACAACTATTTCGTGAAGGCCAAGAATCTGATAGCGTTGTTCAGGTTAGTCACGAAGTTCTGTTAATTTGCAATTGGAAAGGAAAAACGGGTAGGACGTGCTATGATGCAGTGCCGATCGAGAGGATAGGGATTGGTCATTTTTAGGGTGACAATGTTTTTGCTTGAACAGAATGATAAAGTGTATCGGTCTCTGGCATTTATGGGAGCGGCATAAGGTCTTCGTATCTCATCTTTCCTACTGATGAGCTTCTTGTTGTAATGCCACAACTAGCCTTAGACACAGTTTAGAATGTTAACCATTATTAGTAGGGAAGAAATCAAGCACTTCGGAGGATCGTGACAACCTCGCGCTTTCACGAAGTTGCAAATCATTCGTACTAACCGGTTGACCCGACAATAATCTATTGAAGCTGGATTGTATCATTGATCGTCAAAATGAAGCTTTCTAAATGAGACATACAATCACTAATCCTCTCTTGCGCTGAAAGGATCCTGAATGCAATTCTGCGCTGGAATTTGAAAACATTCATCACGGCACAGAGATTATGATCAGCTGTTTGGAGGAACTGGCTAAACTCTTCGGATGGACTGTCGTCCTCAAAATTAGCACACGGGAAGGACAAGTCCACTATTTTCGAATATGTGGGTAACGTATTCGACTACGCTTTCAACGCTGCCACGGTTCTAATCCTTTCCGTTCTTTTTATTCACCAGACTCATGTGATCATAATTTGCCCGTGATTTTGTCAATACTAAGGACAGCTGAATAATGAAAGATTGTAATTACAGCATCCGGTCAGTCACGAAGAGACCGATTTGCTGTCCAATTCGAGCAGGTTAGTGTCGTCGTTAGAACCAGAGTTAACATCAATTGAACCACTGCATAGCTGTAAATATTGTCAGGCTGGGGTTCATTGGCGGCGATGGCAGCGAACTCTACCCAGAGTCTGTGAATGCTTTGTAGCTTTTCCATGTTTTCTTCCCTCTGAAACCGCGAAACAAAATGCAGACCATGCGAAAGACATTTTATGCCACGAGGATTTTCATGAAGAAAACTGTCAAAATATTCCACCTTCAAGAATTCAACTAACAGTGACGTCACCAGTATTAGACTGAAAGAATGATATTTGTGCCGTTTCTGGTGGAGTGTTGCAAGTTTTCTGCCGCATTTGTTGAATTTTCTGTCAATAAATTGACCTGATGATGTCAGGATGTGGTTTATGAAGCAACTGGTATTACCAGAAGTTGTCTACATGGTAGACTTGCATTGCATCAACACACTCTGGACCTGAATTGAAAATAGAGTGCATTAGAATGATGTTGGCCAATTTAGGTTACATTGATGTATGATCACATCCTGAAAGATTTGCACAATTTTAGATGTCACATGTGAGGAAGATGTTCTCTAGTAAACCTCTGAAATTAAGTCTAGAAAATTGACATGGGAACGTAAGAAAATATTGGTTAAATAGGATATTGCTATACTTGGTAGAAAAAGATTTGATTTCACCAGAGAATAGTTGCACTCATTATTAGTTTTGTAGTTAGCACAAGACTAGAGGGAACATTGTGTAGTTGTGTGTTTTTGTATACTATTCTTTGCAATTTATGTTTGTTCATCTTTCTTTTCTTTCAAAAGGTTTTATGTTTTTGTAGATTCTATGTTGATGATATGTCAATGGTTCTTTTATTACTGAAAGAAATTTCTCTCTACCAATACTCTTTATCTGATTTTTTTTTTTAATATTAGATAAAATCATATTAAGAGAGTTTGAAGTAAATAATGCAATAAAAAAATTGCCTGACAAGATGTGTATATATATATGTGTATATATATATATATATATAATTTTTTTTGAAAGATTAAATTTTATTGACTATTTTAAAAGTGAGGTTCTAAAATATATTTTATGATTGTAGATTTTTTGATGTTAATTAGAAATAAATATACAAGATAAATCTATAATATTTAATATTTTGTAATACTTCTAAATAATGAATTATATTTATATATTTGTATTTAGAATTTTTATCTTCTTTGTTGCTAATTTTAGGAATAATAGTACATTAGTTAACTTTTAGTTTTTATAATCATATAATCATATACAAATTATTATACATACATGTCTAAAATTAAAATTTATTAAATCTTAAATTTTATATAATTTTGGATGATTATACATTTTTAAACTATTAAAAAATAAAATAAAATATTTATGTTTATTTAATATTGATCAATTGATATATATATATATATATATATATATATATATATATATATAAATTTTATACAACTAAATATAATAATTTATGTGATTATTTTTCTAAGGCTCTTTTGAAGTCATTGCATTCCTCTTGTCTTTTTGATCAATTTTTTTTTTTTTTTTTTTTTTTTTTTTTTTTTTAATTGCTTGATCTTCATTGGTTTAAGCTTATTTTTTTGCAGGGTTTGTTTGTTAGTGATATACATTCTTTTAGCTCCCATATTTGAAGGTGTCATGATTAGGTGATCTTTGTTCCTTTCCTTCTAATTTGTAGTAGAATATATCAAACACAATAATACCAAAGTAATAGCTTATTAAAGTAGATAAATTATTTCTAATAATTTAAATATTTTACCATATATCTAATAGTTAAAAAATTAAAAAATATACTTTTATATAAGAAAATAGAAATCAAAAGGATTTCAAGTATTTTTGCATAATTTGGTCCAAAATATATATATATATATATATATATATATATATGTGTGTGTTTAAATTGAAGATTCTCTTCAATCCATTGTGGACATATAAGACTAGCTAATTCCAATTGATGGTTGGTTATAAAACCTAAAATCTAACTTTTACAAAATTGTGATGTGTAACATTTATTAATACTACCAAACTTCGCTTAATTCTTTGCTACCTATGAATGTAAATATATAGATGAGGCCATGAAAATTCAAACATTTAGTTATAATTAATCTACCATGTTTAAGATGGATTTTTGCTGCCATCTTTTCATGTTTTTGATCATTTTCAAATAATATTCCATATCCTCCATTTTCCAATCTCATTCTAACATTCGACTCAAACCCCTCTAGAAAAGACTTGCTTTGTAATATCAAATTTGGCAAAAATTCCTAAAATATTGACCAAGATTGATAATCCCTACTTCATGTTAATTGAAGTTGACAATTATCTTACCATGCTGACGTCAGTTGACAACCATCTTATGTCAAGGACATGAATCTTAAAGAAAGAAATCCTCAATAATATCACTAAAAAGAAATAAAAAAGAACTCAAAGATAATATAATATTGAATTAGAATGGCTATTGCCAAAAACAAAAAAACTATAAAGTCTTGAAATAAGCCTAAAGATTAGAAAGGTATTAACAAGAGTGAAGAAGACTTCACTCTTGCTTCCATATATACTCTTAACTAGGAGTTATGTGGCAATGTCCTATAGGACCTCAAAACGTGTTGACTTTGTAAGACATGTATCTTAACTTGTAAGGCAAGTTTTTTTTATGTGCGCCATATAGTTAGCTTGTTTTGCAAGCTACTAATACGTGATTAATTTGTTGATCAAGTTTCTATCCTATCAATCAACTACAAACACATGTAAAATCAAAGCAGTATCTAAATAGCTTCTAGAAAGTTTCTTTAGAAGATATTATGAAATTAATCTATTTTTATCTATTTTAATTTACTTCTACTTAATCATATAGGTATTTATTAAAATACGTATGTATATCCGTGACATCCTACCATCCTGATCAAGGCTAGTAATTGCTTCTCTACTTCAATCTATATTAGTAATCGACTTGCTATGCCAACCTGAGCCACTGACATGAACCAACATCCATTCTGTCATGTCAAATTTGGTGGAAGATCTCTTATCACAATAATCAAGCCTAACTTTTAATGTGAGACCTTCTTGTGGCATCAAATTTGAAATTTTCTTCTCATTCCTCTTCTCCTCTTCTTTTTCCTCCAGTTATTTTCTCTCATCTCTTTTTACAATACTTATTACTATCTTTATTTTACCAATGACTCCCTTTTATAGTGAGAAGAATAGAGTTTGAATTTTTTTCATAGCATCGACCTTGTTTGGACAAGCTCCTACATTCCATGCAAGAGTGAGGATGTTAGAATACTCCAATAGTCTTCTTGACCTTGTTCTCAATTACAACACATGAGACTCAATTTAGAAGACTAAATAAACTTAGAATAACAATTGTTGTTATTATTATAAATCCTATCATTATGCTTCTTTTACACTTACAATTGCTTTGCTTACAATTAAACATAAAGATACTTACTCTAGTACTTTATAAGTATGTTCTTTTATTAAAGTGTCTTACTTCATTACCTTGCGGTGTCGTTTTGTAACATGACTATAGGGTGAAAATATAAATGAAAAATATTTTATTAATATTTAATCATCTTGGATGTTAGAAACAATGGCTAATTCCAGTGCCAATATTTAGGGGCCAGTTAATGTCACCCAATTACAAGCTATACCATCGTACATGACATTAGCAATATACTCCACCGGTGTCATCGAACCAAGTATCCTTCGTACCAATGGGACAACCATGATCATTTTCTAACTCTACATGGAACAAACCTAATAGGTATATACCGGTGGACACACCCAATATGCCTGATGGGGGTGCAAGAAGACCACTTCATTGTTTCTATTGTAGACAGATTGGTCATTATGCTAGTGAATGTTCCAATCCCAGAGCTAGTAACGATTATGTACCAGTGTGGGAATTGCAAGCAGTCGGGGCATACTTATCAATAATATAATGCTCCGTTCAATTTCAATAATCGGAATCAGCAGATCCAAAGCCAAGAAAAAAATTGAAGAGGTAAATCGGGTGGAATGTGTCGAAGCCGT